CCGGTCCATCCTCTTCAGCTGCCCCGAGCTGCCGCCTCCATCCCCGGCGCCGAGGGTTAATGAAGGAGAAGCGATTGCTGGGTTAGAAGCAAAGACCCCCGGGCTGCCGAAACCGGGCTCCGGGAAACGGCGCTGGCAAACCCAGCATTAAATACATCATCACCATTATTATTATTTAATTTTTTTTTTTTTCCTCCTTCACCTTTCATTTTTCCAGAAACCGGCCTTATTTGTGATTTCTACAACTTACAGGGCAGGATACCACTGGTGGTATCTTAAGACCAGATCCCTAAGGGCTCTACATAAACCCTTTTAGCAGAGCAGAGAGAAAAGTAAAATACATGGGGAAAAAAAATAACAACAAAACCCCCACGGGGGAAGAGTATCAAATATTAAAATAGTTTTAAAATTTAGAAGGAGAAACTCACTTGAGATTGAAATCAGCCCAAATTGATGTGTGCAGCAGAGACAAATATGGTACAAATCAGTTATAATAATCAAAAATCAGAACTAATCATAAAAAAAAGATTAAAAAAAAGGATGTAGGAGGGAATAAACAGAATTTCTCAATATCTAGAGGAATGGAAAATCCAACACGGACATCGCTGCTTTGGGCGCCCAGGGCAGCGAGGGCGAGGAATGGGGCTGGGTTGCAAAGAGGCTTCAGGTTTTTGGGCTGCAAATGACTCTCAGCTGCCTGGATTTTGCTTGGGATGAGGGCTCGGAAAAGGGGGAGACCTCCCTGGAGGCTAAAGTCTTTGCCTCCCTCCTGCGTTAAGCCACGGCGGCGGGGGCTGCTGGGCAGATGCTGGCACACGCGGGTGGGTGGAGGTGGTCACGGCCCCGTTCGGGAGATCTCAGCCCCCCCGGGGATCGTGTCGGGCATCGGACGTCGCTTTCCCACCAGTCAAATTTGGGAGGGTTTTGATTCGGAAAGGATCGCATCATCTGCAGGTGCTCCCTGCTGCATGCAGGGCCGTCAAAACTCAACGGGATCCGGTCCCTCAGGGGGTGGTTGATAAACAGGATTCGTGAAAAAATACAAAATTAAACCCAAGAAATGTGATTTCCATTGCGGCAGGCGAGATCTCTTCTTGCAACGAGAATTCTTGAGAACACGTTGCGTGGCAGTTCTTGAATGCTTTTACTTCTGGAGAGAGCTTCACCATCACTCCTCTCTGCCTCCCCTGTCTGCAGCTGATACTCCCCAAAATTGTTAGCATCTAGACTTTTTAAATAAATTCAGCTCATCTGAGAGCAGGCGGTCGCTGGCATAGGCCAAACCAAAGATCTCCGCTCCCTTCCAGGAGGCCACGGGAGCATCTGAGCTGCACCATTCAGACCAGGGATCATCGGGTACGTCCATCCAAGAGCAAAACCAGAGGAGCCATCAAAAAAAGACATCTGCACAGAGCCTGATGGCCTCTCCTTTTTTAAAAGGAGTAAGAAAGAGGAGAAAAAACAATCCAAGGAGGTTTCCGCACCCCACCGGGACATCCCGGTCTGTCCTGGACACCGGAGAGGACAAAGCCCCTTCAGCGTATTTTCTGGAGAAGAAGTTTCCATTGGCAGCAGGCTGGAATTAATACTCTAAAATGTCTTTTTTTCCCCCCCGTATTTCCTTTTTATCCATCCAGGTCTGGCTGCTCCAGGCTGAGGCCCCAGCTCGCTGGCACCGTTCACCCTGTCCCCAGCAAGCATTGAAACGGTCCTCCATGGGGGAACAAGGCTGTACTTCCATCTTGCCCAAAATCACCCTCAGAGGAGGAGGACGAGGGTCTCTCCACCCCACACTGACCAGATAGCTGCCTCCTTCCATGTCCTCAGCCAACGATCCAGCGGGATCCACCCCCATCCCCTCCATCTTTCCCATCCGGCGCTGAAAAAGACGTGTACTCACCTGGGTCGGGAGCAACGCACTCGCACTTGTACATGGTCACGTAGTCCGGCTTGAAGTCCGAATTGATGGGATAGTACTTGAAGGCTCCGATCATCTTCTTTATGGCATCGTAGATGAAGATGAAGCTGATGAGGGTGGAGAAGCCTTCCTCCGTGAAGCGGGTGATGTATTTTATAATGAAGCTGGCGTCAGTGGCCACCAGGATAAGGCACTGTACGGCAGAGTGCAAGCCGATCCAGAGGCGAAACTCCATGTAGTCGATGCCGTTGCCTCTGAAAGTGGGGACACAACGAGAGTGGCCCCGTGAGAGTCCGCCGTGGGCTGGAGGACAGCTCCCAACCTGGTACAGATGGGTCCCGGTTCCCCCCAGCATCGCCCAACACCTACTTGCTGAAGTCGAAGAGCAGCTTCTCGAAGATGAGGATGGGGCCGGTGCTGCTGAGGATGATGAGTGGCTGCCCGGCGAAGAGGCAAAACATGGAGCCTGCCATCGCCGTGCCAAGGAAGCTCTCCATGACGCCCTGGGGATAGACCAAACCCAGCATTACAGTGACGCTTTACCACGTTACATCCCCACGGACACCTTGGATGGAGATGGGAATGCAGGACCTCTGCTTGGACCCATATAGCATGGTTGGGACCATGTCCCCTTGCTCCTGTTGTTGCCATTGAGATGGGTTTTCCCATTTTGCAGCTGTTTCAGGACTGTCAGTCCCACTTGGCAATGAATTTCCATCCCCAGCACTAAAGCTTGGCCTGGCACAAGGAGGGTAAAACCCATCCCAACCTGTCCTGTCCCGTCCCATCCCTGCTTGTTGTCCCCAAGCCAAAGTGACCCCATTCCTTGGGCTCAACCTGGTAGTTGTCCGTAGCGTCGCCAAGCAAGCCCCCGAACGTGATGGCATTGGTGATGCAGCCCAGGTAGATGAACAAGATGGCAGAGATGGACTGGATATGAAAGCCTTCATAGAAGTCGCTCGGGAACCAGGGCAGCTTCCTCTTGATATCCAGATAGAGGCCACCACAAAACCTGGGGAGACACCACCAAGGACCAGATGCATGTGCCTTCCACCAGAATAGATCCAGTGCTGCACAAAAGGCTGTGCCCGAAAGGACTTCACCCCTCCATGCCCCAGCAGGCCATGCGGTGAACCAGCAGGAGATGTTGATGGGTGCTGGGGTGCTGCTCACCTGCCCGTCCACGCGAGCTCTTCTCGGCCGTGCCATTCATCTGCCCCACTTCGTTCAGTGAGAAAACCGATTTCCTGTGGGAGAGAGCCACTGGTGTCGGCCACAGCACCTACCCTACCAAGCCGGTCCTGATGCAGGGACCATGACCAAGGCCATGTTGAAGCTCTCCACCTGCACTACAGCTTGGATTTTGGGGCAAATTTGGAAAGATCAAGAGCTGGATTTGCTCAGCCCAGGGGGGTAATGCAGATTTTGCAGAGCAGTAATGGTGCTGAGCTGATCTGGGCACCAAAACCGCTGAAAAATCAGCATTTCTGGAAAATTTCTTTCTAGGGATGAAGGCAAGCAAAGCTGCTGTCCTCCTCCAGCATCTCCAAACCGGGCAAGACAGGGATGGCCACAGGGCTGGCACCAGCCCCGTGTCTCCTACCCACCTCTTCTCAGCTGAGGGCACTTTTTTGGGTGGCTCAATCCTAATGTTGGGGTCCCACTCGCCGGGCGGCAGGACGATGACTTCATCCAGAAACTCATCTATGCCAGCGATCAGGTCTTCTCTGTCCCGGGCTTTATAGGCAACATCGCTAAAGAGCTGGGGGTGGAGAGAGGAGAGGTGTCAGCCCAGAAACAGCATCCAGCACACACACGCCCCACCTTGTTACGGGATTTTAAAGCTCATTAGTTTGGGTGATAGGATAAAAATTGCTTTTTCTTCTTGGCTCTGAGTAAGAGGGTTCCCGGTGAGGGCCGGGTGTTGCATCTACTCACATCATCCACCATGAGAGTCGCAATGGCTCTGCCGATCTCGTTGTAGGATTTGGCTTTTCCCGCGGGACCAAGGAGAATAAAGAGGAACCTGGGAAGGGAAAGGCGCCGTGTTGGTAACCTCGGACCATCGACATCCGTGTCGTGAGACCACTTGGTCCTTTGGACCTGAAGGAACTGCACTCACCTGGTGGGGACGGGCACCTCCGTCACCCCTCCCAGCATCGTCGCCTGAAGGAGCCGCACAAAAGCCACGAAGGGCTTCTCCAGGAACTCCACTTCTCCCACCAGCACGTTGGAGGCCTCCGCGTCCTTGGGGATCTTCTTGATGAACTTGTTCTTCAGCTGTTGGAAAGACGAAGGTGGGGAAGGGAGCAGTTGTCAAAATTTAGCTTTCCCCCATCTTTTCCATACCCCAAACGCAAAAGCTGAAGCCGCAGGCACAAAGCTCTTGATCTCTGATGGTCCCAGGACTCCCGGAGGTTGGGATTCAAGAGTCATATCCAAGAATAAACCAGCGAGAACTCATAAAGCTGAATTTCTCTGGTCTTCAAAACCACCGCTAAGCCCGAGATGAACTTGAAACCGCATGCTTGGGGCTCCCTAACGCCACGTGCATCCGGGCGCTTTGCAAACGGCGCTTTGCTGCGCTGGGGTCCGCGCGAGGAACACCCCCGGCAATCCCCCTGCAGAAGACCTGAGCCAAAAAAGACGGCTCCTGGAGCAAGCCAGCGTACATCTTTGCCAGTCTGTTTGCAGCCCTGGGCTCCCCCACGACCCCGTGTAAAGCCAAAACCCTGCTCAGCGCCGCGTGCAGGGGCTGTTTTTGTCGCTTGTTCCTCCCCGGTCTCATCCTCAGAGCAGGAACAAATAATGGAAGTAGGAAACCTCGTTTCATGGATTTATTCCTCGGGTCTCTTCTCCCCTGCAGCTCTTTCATTATTAGTCTAAAAGGGTTCAATACCAGCCCAGGCGGGGTGTTATTATAATCTATATGCCAGCATGAGGGGAAGCATGTGAGCTGGGCAGCGAGCTCTCCCCTTTCTAATCTTTTAAACCCGAATGGAAAAAAAAAATAATAATAATAATAAAGCAACTCCTCCAGTGCAGCTTGGAATAAGCAAGAGCAGGAGTTAACAGTGACCTCTAAGCTCCATGTAACACTTAAAAAGTCCCTTTGTAGTGGGCCTAATAGGGCGATTAAACCTAAATGCTTTGCATATTTTGGGATTAACCCTCCACACCCCGCCGCTGGGAGCTGATATTCGGGGTTCGTCAGCTGGCCGTCGGCTTGCTTTATTGCGGCTCGAATTTAGGAAGGTGCCCTGGAAAGCTTCTGCCTCCCTGATGTTGCGGCGTCCCCGTCCCGTGGCTCCCAGCGACACAAATATTCCCACCCTTCGCTTCCTCCTAAACCGCCTCACCCCAGGTAAGCCCAGCAAGGACGGCCCTGGGGACAAGCAAGCTGTCGTCCCGTACTGTCCCCCACAAACCCGCGCTGCGCTGAATTTTCCCTTAGGTTTATGCTGAAATCACGCGCAAATAGAAACAGAACAAAGCCCATATGACACATCCACGGTTCCCAGGCTAAATAGCCTTGATACTGGGATGGGGATGGGACACCCAGCAGAAGGATGGCACCAACCCTGCTGATTCCAACAAACCGGGGGCAAAAAGCTCCCCATGGACTCTCAGCTGAGCTTTGCATTAAGAAACTCCCGTCCATCACGCTGCAAACTGAGAGAAAAACAGAATCTGCTTCTGTATTTACCCGTTATCTCGTGAGCTGTATTGACGTTTGCAGACCCCAAGTGCTTGGCTGGGGTTTACCCTGCCCTTACCCAGCCAAGCAAAGGCTCCTTTAGGATCCCTGAACTCTTCCAAGCACTTTTCCTTTCCTACCTCAAGATTTTACGGAATTTTTTTTCTCCAGGTGTTATTTCTGGGACGGCTTCCCCACGAGTCAGCAGGGATCAATACGTGCTTTAATTTCCCTAATTAGGAATTTGCGTGGTTATCGAGCGAGCGAAGCGGCGCAAGGCCCACGTGGACCTTAACAACCCCAGAACCGCTGCGCCGTGGCGGGTCGTGCCGGAGATGCTCCCCACAGCACTGCACTGATGTTTTTTTGGGGGTGATTACCTGGTCGGTGCTCGGCGTGTCCGAGATGTCGTTCATGCTCCGACTCTGCGCGTGCCCTGACGGAGATAAGGAAGAGAAGGTGAGAAAACCGCCCCGTAACGCGCAGGCGAATTTCAGCCCCGCGCACAAGGAGAAAACGCGGCGGGAGGACTTCAGTGCAAATTAAAATAACATTATTTATTATAGCTGAGCTTGCAAACCTGGTGCAAGAAGATAAAAACCCAAGAATATGAGTTTTTCTGAGATCAGTCAACCTGTGGTGGGATCCCTTTGTAACCACAATTGCCCACTCTCCTATCGCACCGTGATTTTTCCCTTTTCCT